CATATTGACTCCCTCTGTGTTTCATATTTTTCTTTGGATTGCCCATGTGGCTCTATTTTGCTTGGCCATTAGGACAAAACAGCTTTATTCATCAACCAATAAAAGCAACACATTTTTGCAGTATACAGGGGATCCCACATCACTTTATCACTACTATTGTTGAGAAGTTGAGCCTTCCTGATAGCTCTGGAAAGAGGGAACTTACTCCAGGAAGCCATCAAGATAAGGCTGTCAATGTGACTTTTACTACATATGTTAATAAACTCTGCCATTCTGAGATTCTCCAGGTTGCCAGGAGTAAGCTTCATACAAGAAAGGTCTGTTGGATTTAATGATAAAACAGTACATCATAAGGAGCATCCTGCCTATCTCGGCTTCAGCCATCGAGTTCACCACCGTATCACACCATATAGGATCATTATTTTTAGAAAAGCTCCACTTATTTTATTTCATTTGACTATAAATTTAATCTCCCCATGATACACTGTCAGTCCATTTATGTTATGGGAGATATGGAAACCCAGATGGGATCGTATTTTTTAGGGAAATAGGGAAATGTCTGTCAGGGAAATGGTAGACATACTAGATTCCCGAGAATGTGAATGAACTTAGGTTTCCATACTATGACAGAGTTTCTCGCCAGTCCTTTATCACTCTATCCCTGACATTGCTCTCTATAGGTATTTTCTGTGTTCAGTAGAATAAAAAATTTCAAGGTAGAAAAATTTATAAAGCCCCTCATCCAATTTCACTTCAAGGCAGAATCTATTTGCAAGATGTCATTATAAAATGATTAGATGAAGAGCTGGTGAGATGGCTCAATGGTTAAGAGCACTGACAGCTCTTCTAGAATTTCAAAAACTCACATGGCAGCTCATGGCCATCTGTAAGTCCAGTTCCAGGGAATACAACACCCCAATACAGTATACATGCAGGCACAAACTCCAATGTACATGAAATAAAAATAATTAATAAAAACGATACAGATGATAAATGAGCATGAATAGAAAGAAACCCTGCTTCTACAATTCTTCCTGAGCATTGTGTCTCCATCCTGTTCCTGCAGAAGCAGTCTCCAAATGGAATATCAACCATTTTCAGCTCTGCATGTTGGATGTGGTCCATTCTGTCAACAATAAGAAATAAGAGCTCCAAACCTGGACCACATTGAAAAAGAAAGACACAGGCTTATTTATTTATTTATTTATTTATTTATTTATTTATTTATTTTTGGATAATAGATTTTTGGGGCTAGATAGATGGTTCAAAGGTAAAGAGCTGCCCTTCCAGATGTTCTGAGTTCAATTTCCAGCAAACACATGGTGTCTCACACCACTTATAATGACATTTGAGCTGTCTTCTGGCATGCAGGCAAACATGTAGGCAGAACAATGTATACATAATGAATAAGTAAACAAATCATAAAGAAAATCAATTTTTTCATGTAATATATTCTGATCACTGCTTCCCTCCCCACATCTCCTCCCAGATCATTCCCATGTCCACACCTATCTAACTTCACACTCCTCCCTCTTTTTAGAACACCAGCCATTGAGTAAACAAACCAGAATAGAACAAAGGAACAGAAAAAAATAAAAAGAATAAGAAGCACATACACATATGTGCAAAAATACATGCATATACAAAAATTCATAAAAACACAATATTGGAAGCCATAATATATAAGCAAGCAACCAATGTGTAAAATAATGCCCAGACAAATAATTATGAGATTAAAAAACTCTAAAAATAAAATTGAGCTCATTGAGTCGGCCATCTATAGCATCTATAGCTGGATATGAGGCTTGCCCTTAAGAGTGGTTTGTGTACCAGTGAAATATACTTGGCAAAAACTAAGTTTTCCTCCTTGAGAGGTTGTCAATTGGAGATAGCTTCTTGGTTAGGGATGAGGGATCATGTTCACTTCACCTCTCAGCACTGGGATCCCATCTGTATAGGTCCTGTGCAGGCCATGTGCTTGTTGTCACCATCTCTATGAGTTCATATGTCATCCAGGCTTACTGTGTGGATGGCATTATTTCCTTAGTGCCTCCATCCCCACTGGCTTGTATAATCTTTCTACTTCCTCTTTGCAAAATTCTCTGAACCCTGAGGGGTGATGTTTTATGGGGAATTTCCACTTAGCACTGGGTGTTGTGATGAATCCTCAGTGAATGGAGGAAGAGTGAGGAGAGGCTGCTGCAAGTTGTCTATTACAGGAGATGGTACCAGGGGGAACTGTAATGGAGGACAAGAACAGTGAAGATGACCTACCTACTTTCCAAGTCTATATGGAAAGGAGATGGGCCAGAAATGGAGTGGGGTGGTGCTGGGGGGGGGTCCATGGAAAGGAGGAAAGTTGAGATTGTTGTGAAGGTTGGCAGATTCTCCAGGGAATATACCACTGCTCTTATATGAGTAATTTAGTCTAAATGCGGTGGGAGTGAGTGAAATGGATGGTGCATCCTCAAGATCAAATGCCTTCTGAGAACTTCCCAAAGAGTAGTTCCTATGTGTATTTGTGATTCCAGGTAAGGTCATCCTCTCTGGAAAGTAAGATACATGCATACAAGCATCATATCTGTATTGTCAACAAGATCTCACTGTAATGGAAAGAACATTATCATTTTGCAACTGAGAGCCCAGGAGAGACATAAAAAAGCCTTTACTTGGGTGACATAGCTCTCAAAGACAAATGTTGACATAAGTATCTGTCTCCAAGAAAAGGAAAAGTTGCTTGATGAATGATCTGAGCACTCTGTAAATACAGTTCCAGATATAAGATAATCTCTCTCTCTATCTCTCTCTCTCATGCACATATACATACAAATGCATCATATATGCATTTATATATGAAAAATCCTGTATATACATTTACATGTGAAGTACTATACATAATCTATGGCAGATTTAAAGATAAAAAACAGAATTACTAGTGTGTATAAATAACATTCTTGATCTCTCGGCACTAGGACCCTGTTGATATGCTGTTTTCTGTGTCTGAGTCCCTCACAGGTCAGAGAACACTTAAGCAGAGACCTCACTGGTTAAGGATGCAACCACAAGGTGGCAGTAGACCTCAGCTGCTGGGGAGTATGAAGAGAATTCTCTTCCTTGTATGCTGGTAGTGAAGGCTTAGGGTAGAATCACAGACTTTCTCAGTGGCTGAGTGGACGACTCTAGAGGTATAATTCTTATGTAGAAAGAACAAGATCCTGGAAGCTGTATCTGACCTGCTAGTTATCACAAACTACACTGGATCTTAATTTAATTGGAAGAATGATGAAGACACATGTCCCCACTTTATTCATGATTCTGTGGCTGAAGATGGATGGTGAGTTATGATTTTTGGAACACAAAATACTTTCTGGGCATTTCTGAGACATCCAGGAGGAACTCTAATTTGTTCAGGGTTTCTCTAGTGAATATAGACAAAGATAATCCTGAACAGTAGTGACCTGACAACTTTTCTCCTTTATTTCCATTCTCTCTGCATAGGGGCGAGCCAAGGGGAGCAGGTGGATCAGCTTCCTTCCACCCTGATAGTTCAGGAGGGAGCCAGTGCTGTCATCAACTGCACTTACACAGACAGTGCCTCATCCTACTTCCCTTGGTATAAACAAGGACCTGAAAAGCATCCTAAGCTCATTATTGCCATTCGATCAACTATGGAAAGAAAGCAGGACCAAAGACTGATAGTTTTACAGGATAAGAAAACCAAACACTTCTCCCTGCACATCACAGACTCCCAGCCTGGGGACTCTGCCATGTACTTCTGTGCTGCAAGTGCACACTGCTCCCCAGGCACCTGCAGCCTGTCCTCAAACCTGACACAGGGCCTGGAACCCCATCCATATCCTGTGTCACAGGCTTTCTAGTGCAGCATTAGTCAGTTGTCAGGTGGCAAGTGCCAACTATAGTACTGACATTAAAATACACAAAATGAGAAAGTTAGCTTTAAGTCATTCAAACAATTTAGGAGAATTTTCACCTTCTTCTGTTTAAAAATTATTCTAAATCTTGAAATAAAATTTTGTCATTTACTGTCCAGGGTGCCAGACTGTGTTTCAGAGAAGAAAATGCTGTAGCACACTCAGCCCCAGGTGGAACACCTCCATCACACATCCTCCTCCCAAGATCAGAGATCACTGAGGAGGAGAGGCAGAAATGATGCTAGGCAGGGTCTGAGAACAAGGAGACAGTGTTTTCTGGCCATAGCAGGTAGCTGCTCACATGAACTCCCGGAGGTCTACAGCATACACAAGACTTGAAAAGGATCAGGCCAGACACAATTCCAGCAAGCAGAGGGAAGGTGGACATTTCCACCTTTAGCCAAGGAGCTACGGGCAGTTGGTAGCTGCTGGGAGGATCCATGTTTCTTTATTGCTGCAGCCCTTGGTGCAGAGACTTCTCTCGACTGATGGCCACACATCTAAGAGTATATGGGCTGTACAAACCCTGATGTGTTCATTTTAAAGGAGGGGGGAACTAGGTTGTCAGGGAATGGTGGCAGGGGTGTAGGGGGCAGGTTAATATACTCAAAATTCATTGGATAATGTCCCCTAAGATCTAGTAAAATGAAAAACATTGAATCATATGAGGTATGTAAATATACATACATACACACATGCATACACACACACATATATATATATGTATATATATAATTTTATGTATATTTATCACACTAAATACCAAAAGATACATACAGTTCAGTAACTGATGATTGCAGACATCCACTGGGCACTTGAGTCCTGCCTCCTTTGCTGATGTTTCAAGTTTATTCATTGTGTGTTGTACAGGTTGAAGGGAAATGAGCAGAGGGTGCTGCCTCTTCAGATGTGGTTAATGTCTCATCAGGGGGTGGCTTCACATGACAGACTGTCACTGTGCAGAAGGATGTTCTTGTTTATGAGTGAGGAGTTGCAATAAGGTCCTGAGGAGACTTGTCCTGTGAGTTCAGTGAACTCAAGAACCAAGTGTGACTGTGTTCTGTGAACATGCTTCCTAACACCTGCTCAGTTCTGCTGCTCCTCTTGATGCTCAGTGAGTTATATTTACCTAAGTGTTGACGATGCAATTTTCTTACAGCTGTGGGGGTCCTTACCTTCTTCCTCAGGTAGCAATGTGGTTCCTCCTTATTTATGTAGTTATTATTTATTTTCAGGGAAGAGCAGTGGAGATTCAGTGACCCAGACAGAGGACCTGGTTACTGTCACAGAGGGGTCAGCTGTGATGATAATCTGCACTTATCAGACTACTTATTTAACTCCTGTGGTTTTCTGGTACATGCAATATCTCAACAAAGCCCCTCAACTGCTCCTGAAGAGCTCCACAGACAACAAGAGGACAGAGCAGCAAGGGTTCCACGCCACCCTCCATAAGAGCAGCAGCTCCTTCCACCTGCAGAAGTCCTCAGTGCAGCTGTCAGACTCTGCCCTGTACTACTGTGCTCTGAGAGACACAGTGAGGGAGATGCAGGGGAAGCTGCACACAAACCAAGTGCAGGAGGGTGAGGGGAGTGGCCCTGTGAGGGAGGGAGGTGCCTTCTCTCAGTGGGGTTTAACCAGCCTCCTGAAAAACAACATCAAAACTGTGATTAAATTCCTAGAAACCTAGAAATCTGGATTTTCTGACGGAATAGGATGAAAGTGATTTCTAGAAACAGGATTGTCTTTGTTCCCCAGAAATACTGATCTTTCCCTATGTGGATAACACCTCCACGAAAACCAAAATGTGGAATTTATCTCTACCAAGATGTCTTATAAAATTTAAAGATTTAAATTTGCTGACAATATTTTGTTATTAGCCCATAAATGTATGGCTATATTAGGAACATGGACTCTGTTCTTTACAAGTCTCCTTCAGAGTCACTCCACAAAGTATTTAGATTCTTTCCCTCCTTGGCCCATGCTACAAAGTGTTCAGGCTGACTTCTGCTCTTATTTACTGTTCTATTCTTGGAAGAGACACGATAACCAAGTCACGTTATAGTAGAGAAAATTTAATAGAGGGTTTGATTGCAGCTTTAGAGGGTGATCCATGGTGATCATCATGAAAGCATAGGTTCAGGCTGTCATCCGTGTTTTTAATTTTTAAAGAAAAGATCTGATTTCACCTTCAGTAGAATTTTGGCCTTAAGGGACATAAGATGTGTAGCTGTCTCCAGCCCCCAGGTCTCAAGCAGCTGCTGCAGATGCACACATACAGCCATCAGGCTGGGTACCACCTGGGCTCTGCATCCTGCAGGATTAGTGCTGGGTGGGGAACTCAGCACTAAAGAGGGTCTTTGTTCAGAGAGAAACACAGTTTTCTGGGATAGCGTTTTTTTACATCATTTAAAATTTTATTATAATATTTTATTATAATATTCTACAGGTTGGAAGACATTAGTTTCTATAAGACAGTGATGGGTTGAGATGGTGTAAGATGACTGTGAGTTATAATTGAGGAATTTTGTATTTGCTTTTCATTACTAATCTCATTTCTCAAGCAACCACTAAATGTTGAAATATTTAAAGTGAATTTACTGTTAGGATGCACAGTGCACTGTTCCCTGCAACCACCATATGCAATCAATAGCATACCAGCACTGGTTTCCCAGTCACTCTGGGTGCCAAGACTTCTTCATTAGCTTTCCCCAATCCACTACTTTCTATGAGGTCAATTTTAAACAACATTAGGAACAAATCTTGCATGGTTTATGACTATTCCAGTTTTTAAAATGCATTCTAAAACTTTGAAACAATTGCATTTATACTTCCTTTATTGCTATGCCCCGTTTCTTTTCTTTCTCTATTGTGGTGATTTTGATTAAATTATTTCCTGAGAGAAGATATTTTGTGTTCATTGTATATGAGGGATGGTCTGTGTAAATATCTGGTACATGTGTACAGGTTCTGAGGAAGACAGAAGAGAGCATCCCGTCCCCAAGAGCTGGAATTACAGGCAGCTGTGAGCCACCTGATGTCGATGCTGGGGAGGGAACTAAGGCCTCCTGAAGGACTAGGACCTTTTTCTACTGAGCCATTCCTCAGGCCCAGAAATGTCTTTACTCAGAACAAGCTCTTTCTTCCTGAGTTAAAACTTTAGCTGTTGCTTCTCTGAATGAGACAGGTTCTATGTGGGACTTAAGGCTTGTTCTCCTTGGGAGGGGCTTTTTCTCCCCTGCTTCCTGGATCACTAGCTCCAACAATAGGAGAGTCATCTTAAAATGCCCTCCTCCTCCCATTGTGCTGCACCCAGACTCTCAGCCAGGTCTGATTGGGAAGAGCTTCAGGCTCAGAAGGCTGGGAGGGAGCCCTGCATTGTCTGTCCTGGCAGGGGTCCTGGGTGGAGCTGCCTGGTGCAGGAGGAGGGACATTCACAGCCATCCTGACACCACAGCCCAGGGCTTGGTTACTGCTTCTGTCTCCAGCATCCACACAGCACCATGAAGAGGCTGCTGTGCTCTCTGCTGGGGCTGCTGTGCTCCCAGGTTTGCTGTGAGTCTGGCTGTCCACACTCAGGGACAGAGAGGACTGTGCTGGGCACATGGAGGGTGGGGAAGCAGCTCAGGAGTCCTGCACAGCTGCCTGCTTCTCAGAGGACTTGGGGTGTGTTCAGGGTTCTGTGGATGCTCAGTGACCTCCAGCTGTGTCTGTTTCTCTGTTTCTACTCAGGGGTGAAAGGGCAACAAGTGGAGCAGAGTCCTGAGTCCTTGGTTCTGCAGGAGGGAGAGAGTGCAGAGATGCTGTGCAAATTTTCCACCTCTGCAACCCAAGTGCAGTGGTTTCTCCAAAGCATCAGAAAGGAAACTAGAACATCAGCTCTCTGCACATTCTGTGTCTTCCATGACTGGATGTTCCTGCTGTTGCAGAAAACCACTACCAGTCAAGATACAGAATTCTGAAGTTTAGACCCATGCCCATGTCTACAATTTAATTCCTGCAACTAAGCCTCAGGAAACATTGACAAAAAGGGGAGAGAATATGATAAGTGCCAGAAGATTAGGTAGTTTACTGTGAAACTGTGTCTCCTAAAATGTCAGAAGCTATATCTATGAAGACTCACCAACATGACTGCCTAAACAAGAACTGGACTAGGACAACAAGAATAGAAATGCTAATCTGTATGGAGGACAGTACACAGAGCCTTAGTCCATGACAATGAAGTACTGTCACCTAAGGAATGTTGGTAATGTGATAAATACCATTTACTAGAGAACACATCAACTGGGTACCCGATACTGATTGGTCAGCCTGGAAAAAAATACTTACAAATGGTATAATGTAGATTGAGTAATTTGTATTTGTGTATTTAGGAATAAACCTGTATATGCATACAAATGTAAAAATGGTTAATGAAAAAAGAGGCATAAATAAATTTGAAAGAGAGCAAAGAGTACTATATGGGAGGTTTAGGAAGAAAGAAAAAAATAGAGGAATTGATGTGATTATATTGTACTCCTCCCAAAAATGAAGGCAATAATAAAATATTCATTAGAAAATGTTTATGGCTTAATAATCACCATATGTACAAGTGTTATATATAAGAGCCCTATAAGATATGACTTATGTTAACTATAGTCATCTGCTTGTGTTATGAATCGTGACTGAGTAATAAGTACTGACATTTCCTCATTCCTTATGAAGGCTTCTCCCACTTTTAAAAACAGAGTAGTTTATGACAAATAGAAAGGTTAGGAAATATAATTTTATATATAAAGACTAGAAGGGAAAAGAAAAAAAGCTAAGAGCTAAGCTGACCTCAACAAACACATAAATCTCTGCATCTCAAAAGTATATCTCCAGAGAAAGATCACATGGCTTTCTTTAAGGCATGGGCTTCTAACCTCAGGACACTGTTGAGTAAAGACCTAGTTATCCACAGAGGGGCAGTGCTGAATCACAGTAGGTGAAGGCTCTGGCTCTTCCACACCCTCCTCAATAAGATGGACATTAATGTTTAAAATAACTAAATTAACTCCTATGTTTCATTAGAGAATAAATACATGCATCTTTTGGGCCATTTACCTATATTTTATCAGTTTATCCTGTGCCTGTAGCATTCATAAATAGAAATTGTTTTCCTGCTAAGGCTTGACTATAATTTCATCTCCTTGATAAACTGCCCCATGGAAAACTACTTAACTCTCTTCTAGGAACCCAAGGTTAAGATGCCCAGCTAGCTTATCATAGCTTCTGTTAAACTGTTTGTTTGCACAGAAGCTCTTCCAGCTAACTGCTTGTCTTGGTAGTTTCTGGGTAATTTTCCATAGGGATTCTCATCGTGGAAATAAAATTCTTTGTTAGGAGTAGATTTGTCCCTGCCGGTCTAGTCCCACCACAGCGCCAGCCCCAAACAACACACAAAGACACTGTATTTTATATAAAGCTACAATCCTATTATTATCATTTCTTATTGGCTAGCTCTGTATTTAATATTAACCCATTTCTATTAATCTAAGTATTTCCATGTGGTCTCATCTTACCGGAGAGAGGGCTCGGGATTCTACTCTTTCCATCCTTCATCTTGAATCTTCTCCTTACTACTTCCTTTCTCCTCCTTGTCTCCTAGTCCCACCTATCTTGATTTCCTATTGTCCAACAGTGCTTTATTCATTAACCAATAAGAGAAACATATTTACAGAATGACATCTCCCATCAATTCTTGTTAATCTTAAAAATGGCCCAAGCAAGAATACAAAGTGAAAGAAACTTTGTCCTGTCTTTCCCTGTCACACTCTGTAGAACTCTTAATTTTATAAAGAGACTGGGTCATGTAATAAATTTTATTTTAAGTGAGTTCTCAAATTATTCCATTTAATACCATCATTGTGTGTGTCATGTGATTCAGTCTGTGGCACCTGGGCCTCCAGCCTCAGCACCAGTGGCTTTTCTTAAGCTCATGTCTACTGCTGTGTACGCCAGGGGAAGAGAGCAGGAGGTGGAATAGCACCTGCTCTAGCTTCTCTAGCCTGCACAGACAAGCCTTGTGGTCCAGGAACCAAGACCTTCATTTTCTGATTGGGTGATAGCAAAAGACAAAACTAAAACCAGTCTTCCCCAGGGTAGATCACACCAGTTGGTTACCAGTGCAGTGAGTAGGGGCATAGGGAGGCCATGGAACTCTCCAATTCATAGGTGGGAAAAGATTTTTATTATAGATATGAATGAGAGAAAAGCCAGAGGCCTCAGGGGAAGCCCAAAGCAGCCATGACTACTATGAGGCAGAGAATAGAGTGGCAGACAGGCTGGGGATATCTCTCTTAGGAGCAGCGGGAAGAGAAGGAGATGAGAAAACATCATGTGTTATAAAGGAAAACCTGTAGGAGCAGGGTGAGGGGAGGGAATCCTGTGAACTGAAACAACCAGGAAGTTTAGGGTACAGGGGAGGTGAGAATCAGCCAGAAGGCTGTCAGTAGGTACCCAAGGAGCATGGAGATTAGAACTGCCTTTGGTATGCACCATTGTTACATGGCAACAGGGAGCCAGATGTCTCCTCAGTCAGAGGAAGGGGAAGTAGGAAGTGGGTCTTCCTGGCAGACAGAAACCCTTCTCGCAGCTTCCTGAGGACTGAAGAAAGTATCTGCCAGCAATCCTTCTGAGCAAAAGCCAAGCTGTCAGCCTGGACTTAGT